TAAAGAGAAAACACACTCCTGCCATTGGTCTCATATGCTTTAGTTTTTTTAACTTGAGGAACTTGTATAAATTGGCTTCATGCTTGTACTGTGACTTATTGAATAAACCCAACAATCTGAATTCCCCAACACATTCAGCCATCATCTACAGCAGCAGTCTCCTGGCCCGAGAGGGGGTGCGTGAGTGGCAGGCATGTGTGCATCACTCCATTTGTGCGAGTGGTGGGTACTTGAGCAAAGGGTGCTTATGTTTGCACATGGAGGATGCTTGCGCATGAAACTCCATTCCCACGAATGGAGCTTTGCACTAGCACAAGCACCATCTGCTTGGGAAGTGGAGCTTCGTGCCTAAGTGCCATTGCTCTCCACTCACACAATTGGAGCTTTGTGCATGCTGCACGCTTGCCCACTGCTTGCACAAGTGGACCTTCACACGCACACACGCACGCTTGCCCATCTCTCCCTTCGCTCAGTTTCAAACAGGCTGTGGCCCAGTGATGGGCCACTTCCCAGGGTTGTGGACCCCTGATCTACAGTTTATAGACTACAGTATTTGAGGTCACTGAAGAATGCAAAACCAAAATCAAAGACATATGATGACTTAGCATGAGGTACAAGGCCAGGTCCAAAGGCAGGTTGGGATTCTATCTTCTTCAGGGATATTCAGAGATTGCAACTGTGGAGTCAAGAAGCTGGTCTCAGGTCACCTCAAGGCCGAATGACAGCTAGCCAGTCGGGAAAGGGATCCTGTGCAGTGCGGGTTATTTATATGTACTGAGAAAGGATTTAATGACATGAGCCCCCCTTTTCCTGGTTAAAAGCTGATGATAGCTAAATGTTCACTTCTACACCCAAGAGAAGCTGAGGAGAGGCAGGCACTCTTTTCTACAACAGCTCACTGATACTCTCCATTTCCTAGCATAGCTAAACTAAAGTGGCAGCCAATCTTTCTTCATGATGATAGTATTAGGGAACTAAAGGTCTTGAATATAAGATAAAATGTGACCAGCTGATTCTGCCTTGTATATCCAAGGTCTGCCTGAACCCAGTCTGCCTCTCCTTGGTGCCATTTTCATGTAAGGATGGAAGAAAGTTTTGTTTAATTTGCAACAGATCTGGGTGGGGCTGCTCCTGCTTGGGCGGGGGGTGGGTGGGTGGGTGGGCTAGATGCCCTACAAGGTCCCTTCCAACTCTGTTAATCTCTAATCTGGGTTATTACTTGAAATTAACATCTCTCTAAATAGTGGGGTGCAGTTTGCCATTCCAAAAACAACATACATCATTATTAGATAAAAATTTTCGTAAACATAAAAAGAAATTGTTTGGGAAAACTGCATGTTAGATAAAACTGCGCGGGGGGGGGGGGGGGGCAGCTTTTACTTGGAGAAATGTACAAAATTACACGTACTTTTAAATGCAACCTTATTTTTTAGAAATGTAAAATTACTAATCGCCAAATCCAAATGGAATGGAGAATGAAAAAGTGAGAAAAAAAATCCAAACTGAATAAATTTGCAAGAATGGGAAACAGAGAGCCTGTGACTCATTTGTCCATCCTACTTCATAGCAGTTGGAGGAATGGGAGTGGAGTGGACGGACAAGGGGAACAGAGAAAACCCGTTTCATCTCTTGAGTTTTTAGGTACGGATGTCTTGACATACCTCAGGATTTATTTTGTCAGCAAAGTCTGTTTTTCTGTTCATTCTGGCACATCTTTTTAAATGTCTGTGAGCTTCTTTCAGCTTCCCTTTAATTAACAACCACCTAGCAGATTCTGAGAGCCACCTATTAAAGGATGACATAAAAAGATCATATTCTCTGCCTGTAACCTGCAGCTCAACATGTTGGTTGGGGAATTCTGGGAGCTAAAATCCACACATCTTAAAGTTGCCAAATTTGAAAAATATTACTCCAGCTAAAATTCCTCAAGCTGTATGGCTATGTCATTCTTTTTCATGAATATGATGGGCAGGTATGGAGCTGACTAAAGTATTCAGTTACATACATTGTCTTGTTGTAATCATAGCAACTTTATCAAAGCTTCCCATAAATATGAAAATGTGCAGCCTGGTTGTTTTCTTACTCATGAAAAAAAGAGTTCATATGTTTTCTAAAGAACTTTGCTTTGCATAAGCCAGTTGCAGATGTGTACAAGTTTCTTCTGGCTTATTTAAAATAATAGAAGCATCCTGAACTTGATAAATTCCTTCATGGAATCATAGGGTTGGGAGGGACATTGAAGATCTTCCAGTTTTAATCCCCTGCCCCATGCAGGAACCCTCAGGCCATGCCAGACAAATGATTACTCAACCTTTGTTTGAAAACCTTCAGTGATGGAGCATCCATAGATCAAAGAGGCAGGCTGTTGTCCTTAATAGCTTTTATAATCAGGAAATTCCTGATTTCAAGTTTGGATTTCTCTCTGTAAATCTTTCACACATTGGTTTGTCCTACCCTCAGTTACTAGAGAGAATAAATCCATGCCTTCTTCTCAATGATAGAGAACACTGGAAAACATTACTTCCTAAACATACCAGTTCCTTTAACTGTTGATCTTTGGATTTAGCTTCCAAGCCTGTTATCACTTTTATTGCTCTTTCTCTCCATTTATTTTCCAGTTTCTCAGCATTCTTCTTGTGTTATGGTAACCAAAACCAGACACAGTATTCCAAGTGGAGTCTGAGCATTGTAGCACAGAGGGAAACAATCCCTTCTTGTGATGTTAACATTAAACCTCTGTTGATTCAGCCCAAGATTACACTGAGTCTCTACTGCTGACTCATCCTTTATCCTACCAGAACACTCAGATCTGTCTCACAAGGACTACTATTTTAAAGTAGGAGGAGAGATCAAGGATGGGTGATTAATGGTGATGATTTTTAATGCTCAAACTTACCCTCTACTACATTAAGAGCAACGCAGTAGAGAATGAAAACAAGCCTTTGTGGAATATGTCCACTATGCTTTCATTCGCCATTCTTGGTTGAAATTTTAGCTTTCAAGGCCACTGCGTTACAAATCACTGTTGTTGTTGCTGTTTTTGGAGTAAAGCTCTCTGTATGTAGTTACAGTGAAACCTCTAGCAATTTAAGGCAATTAATGGTACCTTCAGGATCCAACAAAATCTGGCCTGTCTTATGTGGATTCTACCAGGAAAGTCTCAACCAATATGAAGTCCAATAAATAGGGGCTTAGCCACATGCCTTCTCTGTATCTGCCCCCCATACATGAATATTTTGCTTTCCATGATCTGCAAAACTAGCCAGTGCAAGGTAGCATTAATGTGTTGAACCAGGAGGGGCCCCAACATTAGTCCACCCTTTGCCATGGAAGCTCACTGGCAGACATTGAACCAGTCGCTCACTCTCAGCCTAACCAACTTCACAGGGCAGCTATTGGAAGAAAAAAAAAGACTTATGCCACATTTAGACATAAATGCATACCAAATAAAAATGCTATTATTGTTGTTAGCCTTTCACAAATTGCTTAAAAACTAGTTTTTCCTCCAGCTATTTGGAATTTACTAGTTTGCAGATTGTAGGTAGTTTTGATGTTGTGCCCTCCTGGCTTTTTTGCATGCATGTTTCCTTATTTTTTGTAAAACACCAACAGTTATGTAGAAATGGGAAGTGTGATATACTTCGTTAATAAGAGAACACATATTGAAGCTTCTTCCTGTCTATTCCTATAGGCTAGAGCAGGGGTCGCCAACCTTTTGGACCTCAGGGACCACCAAACTCATAATTTTAAATCCCAGGGACCCCTAACCGGTCCTCTGGGCATGGCCTGATTTGTGGGTGTGGCTTAGTGGTCATGTGACGGGGCTGGGCATGGCTTGTATGTAAATATTATAAATATTTATATAAATATTGATTTTTTTATTAAAAAAAGAGCAACTTTTACTCAAAATCAGGCAAAACAGGCAGGCAGATTGAGTTGCTCACAGAATCATTCAGTGATCTATCTATCTGCCATCGGCGAGCTCCGTCTCTCAAATTTGCTTGCCATGAGTCTGCACTGAATTTGCTTGCAAGCAAACCTTCAGTCCGAAGGGAGATTCGGCTGTGCTTAAACGCAGAGCCGAAGATCTAAAGACTATCTAGAAACAAGAAATCCAACCATTTCCTGCTTCCTAGCTAATCTAAATCTCCCAGCACAGCAGAACCGCTGATGGTCAGAAAAAGGAAAAATAGCAATTTAGCAGGCAAGTTTGCTGGGTAAGGAGTGAGTGGGCGGGGAGGGTTCCCGCGGGCCATGTGGGTGGTGCAGCCTTATGTTTCTGTGCAGCCTGGATTAATTGCTTTAGTGGGGTGCTCTGGCAGTAACATTTCCCTAAGGCCCACCAAGATTTTCTCGTGGCCCACCAGTGGGCCGTAGCCCACCAGTTGACGACCGCTGAGCTAGAGAATCTGAGCACATCATTGTTTGTTTCTGAGTACCATCTTAGTTAAAGAATAGAGGGGAAAAAAGTAGTTGTTTATTTTGGTGCCTCTGACCTGAACTTTGAAGCAAGATTATGTTAATCTTAATTGGTCCAAAAGCATTAAATATATAAACATATCTGAGTATTTGGATATATTAAAGTGATGGATATGTAAATTTCAATCACAGACATCTAAAAGGCTTCACAAAAGAAAATATTCTTCTTACTTGCATGAGCAATGCCTAATTCTTGTTCAACCAGATTATTTTTGTGTTCTTAGTGAGCCATCACTGTGTTATCATTTATTTAAAAATGCCAAACACTGGGTCATTAGCACTTGAGACAAGCTGCTAGATCACTCATTTCAGTTTATAGCAAACATGCTAGGCACAAATTAACATCCTTCTCTTAATATTTTAATTTTGGGGCTTTTCCAGATTGCAAGGCATGAGCCAAAGTTGGCGACGCCCTTTGGTGTACTTTGCTCCAACTTTCCATGGAAGGCTTTTCTAGAGAAAAGCACCAATTTCATGCTCTTTTTAGCAACCCGTACAGAAACATGGATGGAGCTTCAGTTGCCTCAATCTTGACCTCTTGTCCATGCCTGGAGCACATCCCTAATGCTGCCCCTTTCATAGAAACAGAATTGTTTCTGATTAGCTGCGTTCAACTTTGTGTTTCCAAAATCCCACCAGTAAAAGCACCATGAATCCTTTCACCGCCATTCAAATACCCCAAATCTTGGACACGCCGATCTAGGACCTGGCCTGAAGTCAAAACAAATCATTTTTTCTTCTACTAGTTTTAACCTGATTTTGCAAAGGAGTTTTTGAGAAATAACATGTTTACCCACCACACGGAGATGATGCCCACTATACATGGAAGAGAGGTGGTGAGAAGCAGCCAGTGCCAATCCCGCACCAAATAGGCAATCAGAGCAAGAAGCATATTTCCGAAACTCCAGAAGAGGCTGCTTATAACCCCTAACATGGTGCGATGTTCTATATCCACCCATTCCATGCCTGGAAGATAGAAAAAGTGCTCAATAGGTCCATCTGTGCAGAGGCCCTCCTTTTATCGGAAGAGGAGGACAGAGCTAGATATGGCAACACAGAGGATGCATTTTTACAGCCCTTCATCTTAGCCTTTGATTCTCTGGGAAAGGAAATGTAATTGATCCTTCTCAGACTTGCAGGTTTCTTGATCAGCTTGTTTTTGATCTCTTATATTCCTTTTCTTGATGGTTGCTTTCACTGCTGGTTTTTCTAGTAATTAGCTTATAATTTGAGTTAAATCAAGATTCGCAAACTTTTAGGGCCAATGAGTACATCTGAAACACCCCATGCTTCACTTTTTTTTTTAGCATTTACAACTGTTAAGAAAACCCTCATATGTTATCTCATCATCTTTCACTGGGAAAACGTCAAAATTGGGACTCGCACTTGAAGAGTCTGGAGCCTTTCTGTAATTGCTTGGCTTAGAATGTGTTTTTCAGTCCTGCAATTGAGGACTGCATCATACTGTTATTCACTCATAGATTTCAATTTGTAAGGATACCATATATGTGCAGGGCATGGTAAGGGAATGCTATCAAAGCTCCACTTATTTTTAATGTGCAATCATGGCTGCCATCTTGCCCTTTGACCATATGCTGCATATACCTCTGATCCATAACTACATACAATACACTAGATCCTTTCCTCTTTTCACAAGAAGCATGAAGAAATAAGTGCATATTTCATATCCATGAATTCCTTTGCACAATTGTTTCCTGTTTATCCATAGCTGCTTTTTAAAGGCCCACCTGGATCTTCTTTTTGGCTTACCCAGAGGTAGCACGATGATAGAGAGTCCACAGATAGACATTCCTGTCAGAGTCCACGTCACTGCGAACATACTATAGGAAACTGAGGCAGAACTCAGTAGCCCAAAGATGAGGGTGCCCAAGTAGGACACCAGAAGCATTCTCTTCCGACCAAACCTGAGGCACCATAGAAAGAAGCATTACTGCTGTGACCAAGGAGGCAACTTCCAAGTCATCTCCAGATTCTTACCAAAGGTCATGAGAGTTGCAAATTGCCCTTTCAGAGAAATTGGCTGATACTTTACTTTTTATCCAAGCAAGTAAAGAGTTGCTCAAGGAGCAGAATCAGCACTTAACGGATAACAGATAATCAAAGTTGGAAGGAACTTTATAGGTCATCTAGTCCAGCCCCCCACCCAAGCAGGACACCCTACACCATTTCTGACAAATGGCAGTCTAATCTCTTCTTGACAGTCTCAAGTGATGGTGCTCCCACAACTTCTGAGGGCAAGCTGTTCCATTGGTTGATTGGTTGATTGACAAAAAGCTTCATGTAATAATAATCTTTATCATGGCAAAAAAAGCAAGATTTTGTATTTTAAACAAGTCTGTTTTTACTGTTTTAAGTGAATGGAAATTGTTGGGAAATGGAACAAAAAATAGAGCACAGAAATTATTTTGGAGCAGTTACTGGGTTCCTGTAGAATACGTACACAAATGAAAATAGATGCATTGCATTTAAATAAATGAAACTAAATAAATACACGTGGAAGGGTATATTACCCATTTAATTTGTTCTTGGCTTATTTTGTGTTTACTGTGCCATTTACATCTATGCTGGTCTTTTCATGCAACCTAAGTAATTGGTCCTTCATAGGTATTGTTGAGGACAAATGGGAGCTTATTCACCAGATGTAAAATTGGAAGCTAAGGTCTTCATGCTTCCACTCCCATAAAAATATGGGATAAAATGTCAAGCACATGTCAAGAGACAAGATGTACTCAGATGTGCTTTCTGTGGACACAAAAATCATTCAAGACTATAACATTTTTTACCATAGGGGAGTACATTTTGGTCTAGTGCTAATAATAGCACTAGAAAATAATAATATGAATATATAGATGCCTTTGAGTCAGTCTTGGTGCCTGGTGACTTGTGAGTCTAGGACAACTTGTCACAAGCAACTTGCCACGGAACAGCTCACTGTGGGACAAGAGATATAGTAATATGGAAGAAATTGTGGAATAGAACCACAAAAGAAAGGATGCAAAAGGAGGGAGAAAATGAAACGTCAATGACAAACATTAAAATATGTTTCATTAATTTAAATAATTAAAGTGAATTGTTGAATTGTCCCGTGGCGAGTTAGCTGCAGCGAGTTGTCCCATTCCAGCCTGGACTACTCCTTGCAGTTTTCTTGACAAGATTTCAGAAATGATATGCTTTGCTTGCTTCCTAAAGCTGAGATAGAAAGTAACCGGCCCAAAGTCAGTCCAGTGGCTTTGTGCTTAAGGCAGGATTAGAACTCAAGATCTCCTGGGTTCTGGCTTGCTGCCCAATTAGCTTCTAGTACGCATGTAAATGAAGACCAATTGCCTAGAACCTCACCTCCAGTTAGATCTTTGGGAAATGCCCTGGTGTCTTCCTAAAAGCTTTTGTCTTTTGGTCTTCATTTAGTTTTCACCTTGCTGTTTGAATCCATCTGTTTCCATTATTCCATCACATACATCGTTGTTCGATGGAATGAGGAAAGTTACATTTACATCAACAGGTTCTGTCGGATCATTCCCAAAACATCCAGCTATTTCCTGGCTATTGCAAAAATATCGTTTGCCTGGCTGATACATTACAATGCCAGATTTAGGATGGAAATTCCAACAATCACTAAGCGGCAGCAAAAATTTAACAAAATACCAATAATTTGCTGTCATCTTGTGGTTGCCTAGAGTTTTACACCCTAGGTTTGATAGAGTTGTTTATAGGTTTTAGCAATAATATTATTAATTTATTTTAGAGTAAATCATTTTAAAATAAACCAGATTTTTATCTATGTAGAATGTGGTTGCAAATATGGAATTTTGCAAAGCTGTTCTAAAGTTGGGCTGAAAATTGAATTGGGTGACCAAAAGAGCTGTGTGTTCCCTCAAAAATTATGATCTAGAGGATTGAATTCTCACATTGATGCAATTTTTATTGCCTGCACATGGAGTGTTGCAACATTCTTAAATGTCCACATATGTAGATAGAATAATGTAAGAATGAAATTACCTGTCCGAGAGGTCTCCAAAGATCACAGCACCAAACATCACCCCGAAGAAGAAAAAGGTAGCAGTTGCTTGGTTCAAGCTTTTATGCTCACAGACCAGATTCCACTGGAAAATAGACATTCATTTAATGGTTTCCTTTTTCAGTAGCCCAATAAATTTCATGTTCATGATAATTACAGAAGATTTAAAATACTTTAAATTTATGGATTCCAACTTCTGGATTGGATCCTAAGGTACTATTCTGGTGATAGATGTTATTATGCCATAATGACATCCCAATATCACCATGGCTGGTCCTACCATTAACCAAAGTGAATGGAAGTTTTTGGGAAATGGTAAAAAAAAAAAGGAGTTTGTAGGCAGTGGTGTGATTCAACCGGTGTAACAACCAGTTCAGTGAGCACCCAGCATTTAGAAAAAATCATTTTTAGCTATAATACCTTCTGCTGCAGCCCTGGTGAAAAAAACAGCTGATGTGTGGCAAATTGCTCTACTGTGCGAATCAGCTATGCTCAAAAACCAGGAAATAAAACACAGGAAAAGGGCAGGGGTGCATGGGCTGGGCCAAATGATCACCAGAACTACCGGTTCACCCAAACCAGTCCAAACCAGTAGAATCCCACTCATTGGTAGGTGGCAGCAACATACAGTCCATCCCTAAAACAAACTGCTGCTTTCAGATGTTGTGGAAGATCCTGCTCCATAGTCTGTGGTGAAGAAACATTCACTGTTAGTTAAATATTCGATTACTGTGGCTTTTCTACATAGAATGAGAGGTAGGCACTGTGTTCTTAGCTGGCTCAGAATCCAAAAGATCTTAGGCTGCTCTTGCATTCACCTTGACAACTGTTGAACGCTAATCCCTCATTACGTTTTGCACAAGTGGGAGAGGAGTTGAAGATCCCCGTATAGCAGTATTGTACCTAAATAATTTTAAACCACTTTTAAGTCAATTTTACTGAAATCACCACATTTTATTAATTAGCAGTATAGATCCAATTTTGGTTGGCAGAGTAAGCAGTAGGGAAGTATACTTTCCTTTCATGTGTTAAACCAAGGTGATGACCCTTCTTTAACTATTATCCAAGCACCACAACATTCATTCAAGTTAATAATCATATAATCATCTAATACTCTTTATTAGATTCAAAATATTTTTTTTGCCAATGTCTTGATTTTTAGGCATTCAGTCTATTTTTTAGAGTTGCCAGTGAATGTATTTTAAATTTTAGTGCATTTATTTTCCCTAAAACTTCTGAGATGCATCAGATAATTTTCTAGGATGGAAGTTTGCTATGCAATGGTAAACCATGAACTCTTTAACACTTAAGGAACTTAACTGAAGTGTGGAGGAAATCAGGCATTAAATCTGCTAGGGAGTGTAAGTTTTAGTAATATTTGAGATGGGAACCCAATTCAGTCCATCCATGGAGAATAGATTCCTCAAAGAGCGTGAGTTATGTCTGCTGACCATCTTGCTGGTGGTGCAGAGATGCTAGGGAAAACTATTGTAGATACACTGTGCCGACTGACTTCCTTGAAGCATCTGTTTGGTCACTGTAAGAAACAGAATGCTAGACTAAATTAACCTTTGCTCTGGGATCAACAGATCTCCATTTCTTTGCAGGCATTTTTCTAATTATGGGATAGAAACCAATAGAGCATTTCAGATTCTTGTTACTTTAATGGAAATGAGTGATTGACAAATCAACAGGAAAAAGAAAACACAAAAGAACATGCTGCAGATAACAGGAGCAGAACATCAAGTAAGAAATTTACTGCCTCAGTATATCAGGGAAGAATGATTGTTTCCCACAAATGAAGAACAAATGCACTATACAAAAAGGTTTTCATGCCCATTCCCCAAACTGTTGCCAGAGCTCAGAATGGCTGTGTTCTCATGACAAACTAAACTCATAATTAATTGACATATGGTCTACTGAATTAATCTAATTTTCTGGGCTCACATAATGCACTGCCATAAATCACCTTCGATGATGTACATGCATTAGAAGACTGGGACATACATTTTCTGTAAAATAATTGAATTAAGTGAACCACAAGAGCTAGTTTCATGTTAAAATTGTTGACTATCTTATGGTCTTATGTGTCATGTGAACACAGCCATTAAGCTGTTTGTCAAAAGTGAAACATTTTCAGTGAACACAAAGGAAGCTTATCCCCTTACCCCAACTCAAACACATACAGGCACTCAGAATTTTCTATCATATCATAACAGCACATACTGTTAAGGGCTTGCTTAAAGAACATGATCAGCTTATTAAAAGGACTCAAACTGCAATGGTATGTATGCTAGGAAAAGTATATACAAAAATTGTATGTATTAGATGAAAAGGCACATATGCATATGCATGATTTTTTTTCATAAACTGAAGCTGAATGATGACAAATAAATTTTAAGATTGGTGAAATGTGAAACTGAGCAAGAGTGAACAGAGTATAATCCTTATGCATGACAGTTACATTTTCCAGAAGCAACATGATTGGAACAGCATCTTCTGAAGAATAGACAAAATGAGACAGGACTTGCTTTTAAGTAGCTAACAATTTCAGTCAAGTAACTTAACAGAAAGATAAGAAGGAATGGCAATGATTACTGCAACCTTGCATGTTCACCTGGAAATAAGAATTAAATGAATAAGAAATTCCAATATATGATTACACAGATGATTATCTAAGAAGGATACATACATTCCCCACATAAACTACCCCAACCAAAGATTTTGGAAAAAGTGAAGAGAGGAATAACATAACAACCATTTTCTCTCTTATCCCTTAATATTTCATTCTCCTTTTTTATTATGGTTTTTCAGATAATCAAAACTAATTTGAAGTTTTACCTGAGTGGCTATTGTGGAAATGAATTGGGACTGATCATAGATCCAGCCATACTGGCAGCTCTGGACAGATACATTGGTCAATTCAAGTGAGGAGTTACGCAGTAGGTGAAACTGAGGTTCAGAAAACATCTCACAAGAGCTGAAGGCTCCATTAAAATCCCTTGGAATGTTGATAATCAGCACCTCTTCTTTAGTAAGATTGGCAAATTGTTGCTGATGTGGGATGGCACAGTGATGTCCTGGTATGGCTGCTAGGAAGTTATGCAGCAGGAAATGCAAGGGGAGCAAGAGTCTTGGAAAGCAGAGCAGAAGCAGTGTTAAAATCTGGAATCGCCCAAAGCCTCCGACTTCCCTCAAGAGCTCTTCAAAGTTCATCTTTGCCAAGTCACTTGTTTGTTCGTAACAGCTGAGGTGTCAAAGAAGAAAAATCCTGCTGATGTTGGGTTCTATATGAACTAGATGCCATGACTTTTCGCAAAGTCTTTGTGGACTTTGAAATGTAGAATATGCCTTTCCCCCTTCAGCAGAAACATGCCAAAGGTTTATTGAGGATGGGGCCAGAATCAGTGAAGTCATAATTACTGAGACATGAAAGAAAGAAATCCAACATAAAAATAAGGACAGAAAGCTAGGAGAACATTTAACACAATGAGTATTAATGATTGACTAATAACCTTTAATGCTGCCAGAAGTCAGGCTGGACATACAGTATATTCTTCTCTCTCCTTATCTGTAAAATTAAATACTAGCCCAGGCACACAGGCTACCATACTTTCCTATGACCAAGAATTTTCTTTGGGAGCATCTCACTGTTCTTGTTCACTTAGACAGAAATGAGCAGAAGACAGAAAGGAGATGTCATCAAACACGTCGGAAAGACAAAAGCTTGTAAATCAAAGCATAGGAATAGGTCCATTCTCTAAAGAGAGACTTGCTGGTCAGCTCAAACATTTTAATGGGACATAGATAATATCCCAAAACTAAACTGTAAACCAACTGATCACAGTTTAATGTAACAGGTTGTGCAAACTTGTCCCAGATATTCATTGTTCAATTTTCAACTCAGAAAGCTGGGTTAATTAAATAAACAAGGGTCACTGACCTTGTTAAGCATGTTAGGAGAACACAGCCAAATGCTGTGTACATTGATCCTTGTGTATTATACTGATCCTTCCTATGAGAAGAATTTGAGTGCAGAGAAAACAAAAATAAACTCAGGATACTCAAGTCATGTGATCAAAATTCAGAGGCTTGGCAATTGGCATGTATTTATGACAATTGCAGTGTCCCGGGGTCATGTGATCATCTTTTGCGATCTTCTGACAAGGAAAGTCAAAGGGGAAGACAGATTCACCTCACAAATTAAATTAACAACTGCAGTGATTCATTTACCAACAATGGCAAGGAAGGCCACAAAAAGGAGCAAAACTCACTTAACGACTGCTTAGCAACAACAGTTTTGGCTTCAATTGTGGTTGTAAGTTGAGGAATACCTGTAATCATTTTTAGTCCCATTTATGACTCATCGTTCTTGTGCTCAAAGGTAAAGGGTTCAATCACACAATAACTTTAAGGCAGTTCTAACCATATGTAATCATTATTGATGAGGGATTTGGGGAATTAAGACCAATGCAAAGGCTACAGTGGCATATGTAAGCTGGCTGTCTAATTAAGTATAGATAGTTTACCTAATTCATTTCTAAATAAGACCCGCTGAAGTAGATCTTGATTCCCTAAAAGCAATTTCACAGGTATGGGTTCCTTGTACAGCTCTTAAAAGTGCTGATATCATAGGCATCATGCAATAAGTAAAGAGCTGGGAGTAGTAGTGTCTATTAGTGGTGCAGCTGTTGCTCGAGTTTATAGTAGAGGTTCAAGACCCCATACTCAAGAGAGCAATAAATTGAATTCCCGGGGTAGTGGATGGGGCAGTAGCATTCAGGCCTATCATCTATAATTAGATTTATCTGCCCTTGCTGGGGCTCATCTGGGATCAATCAGCTTGCATATCTGTAATTACAAATACAACATTTATTTTATTTACTTTTAAAATGTTTTGTTTTCCAGAAACAGTGGACTCTTACCTAAGTACCATTGGGTAACTAAAGGAATCCTTTCCCCTTTATACAACAATTAAGTCAGAGGTCTAAACTTATGTTGCTGAAGCTCCATGATCAATGGTATGGAGTGGTGATAAAGCAAAATGCCTAACTTTCCACGTTCTGTTCTAGAGGAAGAGAGGTAACTAGTGGCACTTCAAATATGGCTGCCTACAGCTCCCAGCATTCTGTAATGAGAGAATACTTCTGGGTCCTGGGCACAAAGGAGCAATAAATGTTGCTCACTAGAGTGATCGACCCGTTAGGACCTACAGCTGTCAATGGAATGTCACATCACAGTGTGTAGAAGCATAAAGAAGGCAGAGAGAAAACAGCAGAGTCTTCTTATTGCCATTTTAAGCTACAATCATTTTTTCCACTTCAGACTTCTTGGAACAAGCCAACAGTGACTTCTTGTGGCTAAATGAACTCATCACATGTCACTTCAAGTGATGATTATCTGTAATAGAAACGTTATAATTTAGGCATGTGTATGTAAAAAGAAAGTGTGCACAATCCAGCTTTTCGAGTTGGCTGCTGAAGTTATTTGTGCTTCTAGTACAGATCTGAGAAGATTTAAAGCACTGGCCCAGTGGAGATGAGGCACAACAGATACAGATGCATCTCTATTATTTACTTTATTTTTTTCAAGTCATACCCAGTCTTCTTTTGAACATTACTTGTTTACCTTTAATTTAAAAGCTTAGCTAAGAAAAATGTTCAAAGAATCCCACTCCCACCCTCATTTTTATACTGAGTCTGGATATAGATTTTGAGAATCCTTGCAAAAACTATAATTAGAAGAATGCACATACTTTGAGCTTCATTGTTCCGATGACCTTCCGCTTTCTGGAGGAAAAAAGTATGAAGTATTCTTACTTGTTTGGATAGCATGCTCACATTTGACTATATTTAAAAAAAATCAATGTTTCATTCTTTCTTTTGTTTTGCTTTAAGGTAATAACCAGAACCTAAAAAGAAATTTGAAAGCTCTATCCCTGATTTGTGCAAAAAATGCAGATGAATTTGTGTGCTCTACCCAATGCAAATTATAGGGAATTGGCTCCAAAAACAGCCTGATTCAGAAAGATTGCTCTGAAGCTGCCTGCTAAATGAGAAAGTCATCAATGTAAAGGAAACATAACTTTTCTACTTGGGTGGAGATGAGATCTTAACTATATGCCCCTGCATCTTCTAGTTTATAGATATGGTCATTCCACTTTGCATCAGTGTCAAGCGATATCTACATCTGTAGGGTAGCCAAAAAAATCGCCAACATTTTCAAGAACAAGCAAAGGCTCTTTAGAATATTTTCCATTTTATATGGAGACTGAAAGAGACATTGCATATAGATATTGTAACCACAAATGGCTTCGTTCTTTGCCAAGAAGGTATTGTTTCATACTGAGCTAATGCAGCTCCTAGGAGCTGGCCAGGGTCCTGATCCCTAGATATGGAAAAGAGATATGAATTGATGGGACTTTGATTTGACTGGCAGGTGCTTATCTGCTGTGAACATAATATCAGTGGTGGGATTCAAAAATTTTAATACCGGTTCTGTGGGTGTGGCTTGGGTGGGCGTCACTCAGGGGTGTATAACTACCGGTTCAGTGAGCGCGCGCTTTGCTGGCTGTTTCCCCTTCTTTCCCTTTTGTGGCAGAATCAGATTGAGATTGTTATGCTTTCCTCATTTCTTGAGCATTTCTTGAGCATGTTTTTGCAGATGTACTGTGTAGTTTCTCCAACTACACTGTGTAGCTCTCTAGACATTCAGAAATCCTGAGATTAAAACAGACTATTTCTAGTACCAGAACATCATAAATGGATAGATTTGTTGGGATATTTGACATTTCCTGGAAGCAAATGCTTCATGTCCCATGTGCTTGGATCTTTTGCTCCGAAAGTTGGGCTTTATGACTAAATACTTGCTTGGCCCTTATGATCAGCGCACTTCCACATAAAGATTCTGCACCAGTTTGAAAGCAGATCCAGATCCCAGTGACATCAACTTACCCTTGCAGCTTTATGACTTTGTTTTGTGCATGTTTTGTTAGTTCACCATGACTTTCTTTCTCGGTGGGCAAAGTTTGTCCCACCCCCTTCTCTTGGGACCCAAGTTTTGGGGCCTGTAAGAAGAATGCCTCTTTGATGTTTTGTAGGCCCCTTTCCATAGCCCCAAAGAACTAGTAAATTGGAAATTGCCAGCATTTTATCATCATATTCCCTTCCTCCCATCACCAAACCATTAAGCATGACTTTCCCATCATGTCTTTTGGTGTGAAGAGGGAAGGTGAGCTGCCTTTTTTGTTGCTGCGTCAGGACCTGCAGCTGATCAAAATATTACAACAAATTGTCAGTAAGAACAAATCACATCACCAGGATCACCAGCAAACTTTAGGGGGTGTGCATAAGCGCACCAACGTGCCTATTGTCCCTGTCCTATTGTTTCTTTTATTTTTCTTATAGGTATCCATGTATTCATAACTATGTTTTTACTTATACCTATTATCTTGTAAGCAATTGACAAACCAAATAAAATTAAAAAATGAATAAAATTAAACTGTTTTTAGAGAATTTGCAAGTGAAACAAGTGAGCAGAAGAACACACACACTGTGGAAAGGGGTCTTCCTGTTTCTTGAAAAGAGAGAATAAATGTTTGTGAGCGTTAAAGGATTAAGTCATTACAGATCAGTTTAATCTGGATCCTGAGAGATTCAGATAACCATATAACACAAATATATTTCTTAAATGTACAGTATTGAAAATTATTGTAAGAGAAAATATTGAAGTTCAACATTTATTTTGAATTGATTTTCCAGTCGGTTGCATTTTTGACAGATATTCTTTCCTTTCCTGTAAGCCTCCCAGAATCACTGAGGAGTTAAAGAGATCTCAAAATTGAATTAAATATATAAATATACTTAAAGAAAATCATTTGGAATTTTCTATTCTAAGGAAACTAAAAACTTTGTAAACATTTTAATATGCTTGGAGTAAAACAATTCAACTTCTTTTTTAAAATGTTGAGTTTATTTCTTTTATGTCTATTCCTGAAATATAAATTGCACACATACTAAATGCATTGCAATAATCAATATAGTGGTAAAATTGCTATTAAATTATGTTGAAACTGCAAATTAAAATCCCACCCTTGTTCACAGACTGCATGGTTTGACCATAGGATATATCACATCTCCTCTCTGTTTTCACTTTTGCCCAAATGGGAATTTGTCACAATCTTGCAGTTTAGGAAGAACTGTTTGGATGCATTCATC